GGTCTACATATATTTTATATCAAATAAAGCATGTATAGCTCAGTGGCACCGTACCTGCCTGGCAAGCGTGAGATCATGAGTTCCATTCCTGATACAAGAAAATAAAATAAAATAAATCATGTATCATATAATAGATCTCTGATTTTCCTATGTATAATCTATAATTCTCTGTCTATGTATGTGTGTGTGGAGAGAGGAAGAAAGAGGGTAGGGAAACCAGGACAGAGGGTCGGGTGGGAAGAGAGAAAGAAGAGAAGGAATGTGATGACACACACTCTGTGCAGTGTCAAAGCTTGGAAATCGTTGCATTCCACAGTCCTGAGCACATAACACACAGAGATATTGTTTTCTTACTAAATGGAGCTAGGGTTGGTCTGGGGTCCTGATGATTGAACTCCAGGCCTTCACACTGAGCTACATTCCTGCTCTTCTAAAATTTTGTTCTTTTATTTTGAGACAGAGTCTCCCTGAAACATTTAAGTTGCCCAGGTTGGTCTAAAATTTTACAATCTCCTGTCCTAACCTCCCAAGAGTGCTGGGATTACAGTTGTGCACCACCGCACCCAGCTTTTATCAGAAAACTGTGTAAAGGAAATAGTGGGAGACTAATTAGGGTCTTGTCAAAAGTACCCAACTTTAGGGGGCTCTCACTAGTCAAATGTGGAACAATACGAACATCAGAAAGAATGTTTGCGGGTTGATTGTATCAGTAAAAATGGCTGAGTCCTTTAAGACACTCAAACAAATAAAATGGCAAAGAAAAAGTGAAAGAGAGAAAGTGAATAAAAATATAAGCTTATTTGCCATGGTGGAGGTTATTAATTCACCAACCCCTTACTCCTAGGATGAATAATAAAAAGAAAATTTGAAGCTTTACCCTGTTTATATTTGCTGGGATGGATAAGTTATGCTACAGTGACAAACAGTCTCAAAAATCTTATTCTAGAGAGTTTATTTCTTACTTTTGCTCTGTTTCTCATGGGTTGGCAGATAATCTACAGCCCATATCATCCTCATCTAGGGATGAAAAGCTTTGGCAATTTAGGAGGCTGCTGGTCACTATTAGAGGAAGGGAAGGTAGTAAGAGACATAGCACGTGTCTGCTCTGGTTTTGTGGGCAAGTGCTGTATATAGTCATGGCCACATTTAGGAAGTAGTTTTCTCCTCTGCTCCTCCCCCAGGGCCATAGTAAACATACTCTGCTTCATTCATGATATGCTTTGCCTGATGCAGCATGGATGGATGTGGCAGAATGCTAGCTCCAATCAGAAGTTTTAAGACACATTTCATAGCCAATTGGGGTGGCACCAATCTGTAATCCCAGCACTCTGGGAGGCTGAGGCAGGAGGATCACAAGTTTGAGACCAGGTTGGGCAATTTAGCAATTTAGTGAGACTCTGTCTCAAAGAAAACCAAACAAAAACAACACCCTTCGCCTCAACAAAAGGGGCTGTAACTCAGTGAGACAGCCCCTAGGTTCAAAGTTTAATCCCCAGTTGAAAAAAAGAAAGATAAAAGAGGCATTTCTTGCTTTCACTGTCTCTTCTGTTCTCAAACTATTCCAGTGAAGGAAGAGCAGACCCTGGGAGCCTTGCCTTTCTTGAAGAGTTCCGGTTTGATAGGTAATGCCTGATGCAGAGTCCCCAGAGCCACAGCTGAGCAAGGAAGCCATAGGCCTGTGAACGAGAAATAATTGTTGTTCTAAGCCACTCACATTTTGATTGCTTGTTACTGCAGCAAAAGTTGATTAATAAACCCATCACATGCTATGAAGGAACACAAAAACATAAAATAGTATATTGATGAATTGTGCAAATGACTACCACATTGCTTTTATTTGCCCGTTTAAAAAATTGACTCATACTATTTGTATGTGTTTATGGAGTACAGTATGATCATTTATCCCATGTATATAATTGTGTGGTGATTAAGTCATGGTAATTGGCATTTCCATCTTCCAAAACATTTATCATTTCTACACACTGTCTTTTAAAGAAGGAACTGTTGTAAGTACTGAAGAAGATTGTGGGCTCATAATGGAGGAGGACTGACACCAGCAGAAATTGCTTTTTATCATCCTGAAATAATTGATTGCAGGGAGAATTACCAATGAAGTTTGGAATCATTAGGCGCAAAGAAGCTATGAAGTAGACTATTTAGATGAGCCCAAAGTGTCACCTGACAGACTGCTTGCTCTTTGCCTTGGTATCACATTCTTTGAAATGGAGAGAGCTGTCATCATCAAACTGCCTCCCTGACAGCAGGTGACTGGGCCCTGTGTGCCTGCTGAGGGGACCTAAGGCACAGCAATGCTTTTGAAAGTTCTTCCCTGAGATGCTTCATCTGTGCCTAGTTGAGACCTTAGCTCAGGATCACAATACACATGAGGCACATGCTAAACAATGCCAACAGAAACAATTGGGAGACTGGTAATTTTTCAAGGCTGCTGTCCAAGCCTTTTTTAAAAGCCTTGGTCATAGGTTAAAAAAATATCAGTATGTGGTTTGTTCTAGTTTGGTTTAAAATAAAAAAAAAAAAGATGCCAAAGAATTCAGTGCAATACGTGGGACTTGATGGGCTCATGGGCCTCTAGTTTGAAAAAGCTAACTAGAAAATAAGTGTGTTGTTAAATCTGGGAAATATTTAAATATGGCTAGGTGTTGGATAACCTTAGCATATTTTTGGTATTTCTGGGTGTGATAAAGGTATTAAAGCTATCTAGGAGATCATTCTTAATTTAGTAACTATATCCTGACACATGTAGTGCTAAGTAGCATGATCTCTAACCCAGTTTCAAGTGGTTCAGCTATACATTTATGCAGAAACACAAACATATAGTACATATAATATTTGTAAGTAATGCAAAAATATTAACTTTTCTTGAACCTACATGATGGATATGTGAGTGTACCTTATTTTATTGCTTCAGATTTAAATTTGACAATTTTCATAATAAAAATGTTGGAAAGAAAATAAAGGAAATCACTGTGTAGGGTGGGGGAAGGGTGTGGGTGTGAAATTCAAACCAGTGCTCAGAATAGCATCCTGATCCAGAAGTCTAGCAAGAGGAACATGGCCTCAATTCATTTTCTGCTTTTAAAAAATTTTTATTTGTACATTCTTGCAGTACATAATTGCTTGCATTCATCATGGGGAGTTGGTATATGTATGGAACATATTTTAACTCTTTTCACCTCTCACCTCTCCCTCTCTAGGTCCCCTTCTCATTTGCAAAAGAACTATCAGTTTGTTTTCTTTTCCTTCTTCTGAGCTATTTTACTGCTGGAGTCTGAGCCTAAATGGTTGCTCTTGACCTTCTGCTTTCTTCATAGTTTTCCTTTTGTACAATGAACCATCCATTGATTTAAGGCATGAGCTCAGTAATCACACTTGACTGGACTTGGATCCCACTTGGAGGAACCATATTTCTTGGAGAGCTTCACAAAGCACCAAAAAAACAACATTTCCCAGCCAGATGTGGTGGTAGAAACCTGTAATTCCAGTGCTCTGAAAGGCTGAGGTGGGAGGATCACGAGTTGGAGCCCTGTCTGTGTAACTTACCAATTGTGCGAGACCCTGTGTCAGAATAAAAAATAAAAACAGGGCTTGGGATGCAGCTCAGTTTGAAGACCCTGGGTTCAATCCTCAGTACCACAGAAATTCCTCTCTGTACAAATTACTTTTGATGTATTATTAGTTTTCCTATATTCCTACCTCTTTTGCCAAGGAGCTGTTTCTTTTCTTCCCTGAAGTTATTTTCATTTTTGCTCTGGAGTTCATCCTTTTTGATGCCTTCAGAATCTTGATCTGATTTTCTCTTAAATTTATCCTTGTTGTAATTTTTATAACTCCTGGCCTTCAACCTAATGTTCACACACACACACACACGCACACACACACACACACACACACACACACACATTCTCTCTCTCACATGCAGGTGAACATACACACCTACACATCTTTCATCTGCATTTACAAAAAGCTTTTTTTTCCTACCTCTTCTCCCAGCCTTTCAAACTGTGTTGACCCAGCTCTATTCTTTCCTTGACAGCTAAATTTCTCTTAACCACAGTCTACACAAGTTATTGCTATTTTTTGGCCACTTACTTATTATTTTCATTCATTTATGAAAGCTCTCAGTAAAGTCACAAAAAATTCTTAAAAATCAGATTTAATTTTCTATTTTTCTTTTATATCAGCACCTCTTCCTTTTAAAAGTTGCTCCCCGTAGCATCCAGGGGACCTTATTACGGTTGCATAAGAGTTCCTAATGCCTGTGACGTTGGAAAACTTGAGGTGCACAGGCCTTCTCTGAGCAGCACTGGTCACTTTACTGTTCTTACCGAACCCTTTCCCTGCAAAACCAAGGCCACAGAGATTCTGTTAACCCAGGCTGCTGTCTTCCTCGTGCTTCTGTTTACCTCCTTCTTTAGGCTCATGTGTCCCTTTTCCATTCTGTGGACTGATACTTGGATTCCTTCTCAGCATGTCCCTCCTACTGACCACCTGTCTGGGGTGTTTTCTGACCTTTGGCTTGTGCTCCTCTGATTATGCAGTTGCTCTGCTTCCTTATGTGTAGGAGACATGTCCCAAGACCTCAGTGGATGCCTGAAATCACACATAGGACTGAGCCCTATATGTACTAAATGATTCTTATACACACACGTATGATAGTTAGGTGTGCTAGTTCAGTCTATAAGTTAAGCACAGTAAGAGATTAAAAACAATAAGTTATAATGGAATAGTACAATTATAACAACATGTGGTAGTAAAAGTCATGTCAGTGTGATCTCCAGCTCACCGTTTGATCAGGGGATTACTGTACTATCTTTTGTTCACTACTGGAAGTTCTGAATACCCTCAAACTGTGAGAAAGAAAATAAAGGAAGAACATTTGGCTTTTAGTTTCCTATACCTAAAATGTCTTTGGCTGAGATCTCCAGTTGGTCGGACAAAAAGGAAACTGAAACCTATCTTTTGTGGGTGGAGCCCACTAATCCTGTACCCTTTCTCAGTGCTCAAACTTGTTAATGCTACTCTGTCCTCAAAATCCTTCAGAACCTCTTCTGATCATATTCCACCACTAATGAGCGAAGAGCTCTGTCTGATGCGTGTTTCTACTCAGATTTATTCCTGAAAGTCTGACTTCAGAACTAGGCTGCTGTGGTAAAAGATTCCAGTGAGGTAAGGCCTGTGGGAAGTTTTCTGGAAAAAAGCTCTGGGAACCAGTTGCTAATCAGAAAATTAGGAGAAAATAGTAGGTAGGTGTTTCTATGGTGAAAAGATTATTGACTGTATTCCAGAAAGGGAAAAGCTATAGGTAACCTGATTTAAAAACCTTCGGTTGATGGAGGGAATAAAAGTCCTTTTTTATTTCACCACAACTGAGATCTTAACAAAGGGAAATGCATTTGGCTGCAGCAGGAATTAGAATATATTGTTCTGAGAGTTGACCCAGACTGAGTCTAAAAGGAATTTTGATTCTCTGGGTGTGTTGGACTGCAGGTGTCTTATTGATGTGAATTTATATTTAGAAGATGGCTTTTGATTTTGAGCTGAAGGAGAGAGAAACACAGGGGTCAGAGAGCTGTTCTAAAATAAAAGATAAGAACAATAGTGTGATCAAATGCCTATGATGTAACATTGGGCTGAAAATATCAGAAAGAAAAAATTTTATTTTCTAATATCCTTGTAGTTTAAAAAATGTCTAGCAAATATGCTCTCACTCCATGAAGTCAGATATTTAAGTGGTATGGTTTTAATTTTTTTCTGTTTATTTTAATTTCTATTTCCTTTAGTTGATTAGATATCAGAAAATTTATTTAGCTGATTTAAGTTTGGACCCCACTTTTTCCACAGTCATAGCTAAAGTCCTAGGTCTAAGGGAATATGATAACTATTCTTTGCAATTATTGAGATAATTTGCATAAACAGATTGGGTATAAGATAGATACTTCTAAGTATTATGTCAGATCAGAGTTGATAATTATGTTGTTCAATTTTTCTGTGATTTCTTTAAAAATATTTGGCTGCTTCAACCATAATTTATTGAAAAAATGTGCTATAGACTCTCACTGTCAGGGAAAATTTGTCAGTTTATTAGTGGAGGTCTATCAGTTTTTGTTTATATCTGTTGAATCTGTTTAATGAGATACATATAGGTTTAGAATTATAATACTACTTTTTGAACTTTAATGTTCTGTCACTCATGATGTTATTTGTTTCAAAGTCATCACCTATTATTAACATAGATATACTAGCTGTTTGTCAACATCTGACAAATGAGTATCTTCACATTATTTTTTAATACTTTGATATTTTTATGTTTTCATAAACAGTACAAAATCACTACACTTAGTTTTAATCCAATTAATATTCTAACTGAAGAGTTAATTTATATTTATTAGGTTAATTGATAGATTTAGATTTTGTGTTAGTATCTTTCTTAGCTTTCTATTTCTTTTTTTTATTTTAAAGAGTAAAAGGAGGATAACGTAGTAATAGAGGGGCTTACTGAATTACAGACAAAGTGGTAGGAAATTATCAATGGTTGTTGTTTTGCATATTGTTATCTACAAGATAGTTTCTCAGGAAAACAAATAGACAATATAGTGAGCTACAGACAAAAGTGGTAGGTTGTTGTCAATGGTTGTTGTACTATACTTTGTTATCTTCAAAGTGGTTTCTAAAGAAAATAAATAGAGGTATACATGAGTGACCAATTAAATATTCATTGACTATTCTCAATGGTTGTTGTAGGAAACACATAGTAATAAACATACATCCATTTACGAAATAGCATAGGAACAATACAAACATTACAGAGTTATGGACAGATTAGTAGGAAAATATTAATGGCTGCTGTAATATATGGTGGTATCTTCAAAGTTGCTTCTCAGGAAGACAGAGATGCACAAGAAAGATCTAACAAGAAGTTATAGCCTAAGAGTTGTGAAAAATAGTGGATTACCTCCTCACCAGTGACTCCTTCCACTGAGGTGTGACGGCTGGAAGAAAGGCCAGGATTGAAAAGAAGGACTGAGAGACTTGCACCTGTGTCTAGCAACAGGCTGTTTTCTTTTTCCTCTATAGTCATGATTACCTGGGGCTCCTCCATGGAGATGACAGTCTGGCCAGAGGGAGAAAGCAGAGTATGCCCCAGGCCCTCTCATTCCTGTTGGACTGACTGGTAGGATGGGTCTGAGCTCTGGGGCCTCCGCTTCAGATGGCAGACCAATCTCCAGTGGTCACCTTTGCATTCAGGGCATGGCCCAGGGGGCTTCTTAGGGCAGTCCCTCTTGAGGTGGCCTGGCTTTTAACAGTGGTAGCACAGGAATGTAGTCATTGAGTTCTTCTTGGGGCCCCAAGAATCAGACTTAGGGTCTGTTTCTCTTGGTGCTGCAGCAAAAGCAGCTGCTTTTTCTCGGTCTCTTTGTTTTCTCTCCTTGGCCTCCTCCTTGTCATGGCTATAGAATACTGAGGAGGCAATCCTTACTAACATCTCAAGTAAGCCATCTAGGGTGAAAGCCAGTTTTTGTAGCTTTTCCTCGCCAGTCTCCCAACGCACTGAGACCCTGCAACCACTTAGTGTCCTCTCCCCAACCGTCTGCACAGGCAGCAGGAATCTTAGTGCAGACCTCTCCGGAGCTCCATGTGCTCCTCCACCACAGCCTGTACTGTCAGGGGAAGAATGGCTTCCAGGGTGTCTCCCCAGGTGTTAGGTAAGGTCCTCCTGGTTTCTAGCTTCCAAACGGCTCTCATGACCCCAGTCAACTAGACCTCTGAGTCTTCGGGTGTAGTCTGTATTCTTGTGTTCTCCAAATCCTTGTTCAGCAGCTGCTCCTCTGCTGACTCTGGACCTTTCTGGTTCTCAACGGCAGGGGCAAGAGCGACCCATTGTGTGGCATGTGTTCCCAGGGGTTTCTCCATGTTGGGATAATTCACGTACAGCCCCGGGCGGGCCTCCACGGCCGGCGCGTGGCGGGCCAACTGTGTCATTGCTTCTCTGAGCCATGATAGTTCTCACCGTGCGGTGGTGGCTGGACTAATGGCTGCCTCCCGGGTGCCTGCGCAGCTGGGGTCCGGCTCAAAGGCTGGAGCTTCCTGCTGCGTGGCTTCCCGAGCGCCGGCGGCCCGCCTCCCTCTATTTCTTTTTCTATGTTTGCTTTCTTCTTAAAATTTTTAGGATTAGGATTAATGTGTGTCTGTGTTTCTCCCTTGATCTTTGTGTCCTGAATTTTGTGGGGATGCCATTTTCTTAAAGTCCAGAAAATTTCTTCCAAAGGAAAATTTTAAAGCAAATACTTAGAAACAAGTTTTCTGTCTGTTCGAGGTGAACTCAGCATAAAATTAACCTCTTCCATGTGAATAGTTCCTGGCGTTTAATACATTCACAATATTGTAGAACCACCATCTGTATCTAGCTCCAAAATATAACCAGTTTCTCTTGTTCTGTAATGTATGTTACTGGGCCAGAAGCCAGTTTGTCTTAACTTCAAAAAAGAAGAACTCCAACTTGGCGTCATTCCCTTTGATATTAGAATAAGAACCAGCCTAATCTGAGTAAATTAATGTGCCCAGCCCTGCCTGATCTCATTGTGGTTGTTGTGAGCTAGTGCTTAACGAGTATAGCTTTGCCTAACTGAGATGAGCTTTATCCTATTAACTATTATTATAGTTGCTGAATAATGGATTACCAGAAAGCCACTGCCAGTAAAGGCTGTTAGTAAAGCTCTACTTCCTCCACCACAACCTAGAGTACTTTACAGGGAGGACAGATAATTCCCTAGACAGTAAACAGAATGTGATAGTGAAGGCGCCTGTGCCCTGCCCCACCCCTAACTCTTCCCTCCTGCTTTCTAAACATGCGCATTGTAGAAAAGGGAAGATGTGAACAGTTGACACTTTGCCATAGAAAAATCAATACACATACAGTTCAATCTCAGTTTTCTGCTTGGTGCAAAGGCTCTGTTTCTCTAAGCTGGAGGGAAGGGAATTGGGGGAGATGTAATATCTTTTTGTTTTAGCTGAACAAATTTTGGGTAGCAGTTATCTAGTAGTACAGATTGCTTTTATCATTTCTCTCAGGCTCTTGCACTCTGGCAATGAATTGACTAGTGATTTAGTTTTTTTGTGTATGTGTTCGGATCTTTTCATTTGTCTCTGTATTCACAGATAATTGGCTACAAAGCTGGAGCAGTGTATCAGGAGTTAGTAACTAGGTTAAATTTTAAGCTAGAAATCTACATATTTTTAAAATGGCACTTTGAGATCCAGAGACCTGGGGGTACCAGGGCACAGTGAGAGACTAGGGAACATGGAATTTTGCCTTTTGCACATCAGTAATGCTTCTAATATAAAACAAGCTTAAAAATTCAGTCTGACTATGGCCACATAGTTCTACACCACAGGAGGGTGGGAGCTCATATTCTTGTTTTCAGAATAAGAAGTCATGGGATAGCTCCTGAGAAAAGCCCTGAGGCACAGCTATATGGAGGTAGGTCTGGGTCTCAGCTGCCTACCCAGGTATCTGGAAAGAGGCTAAAGAGGAGACCTCAAGGGTTGTGTTAATTTCTGTCGTACAGGCTGGTCACTGATACCTGTGTGACATGGTTTAACAAAGGCATCTGCTCTCCTGAACAAGTAACTTGGAGACTTATTGAGCCATTCTGTTTTTAAGACCTCCTGCAAATGAAAACAATTTCATCCTTTTTTTCTCCACTGGCAACTGAAGTAGCTGATCTCAGGGAATTTTTTCAGTCCTTGAAGGTCTGAAGCAAATTGGTAAAGCACTGAGAAGATATCAGCTTGCCTATATTCAAGTACGGACTCCATCATTTATAAGCTCAATTGTTTTATTTGACTTTATTTCTTTTTCATTATTTTTATCACCACTCAAAAATAAATTTTTAATTGTTTTTACCACTACAATATAAGTTCCAACCAAGGATGGAGTTCATTTGCCTGTTCTGAATTGTATCTCTCTTGCCTACTATAGAGTCTGGCACATCGTTATTTGTATTTATTACACTAGGATGATTTCTTTTTAATTTTTGTTATGTTATCATAAGGAACTCTGAAGTAAACATTTTTAGGTATTACTTAGACTTAATTCCAATGTGAACAGTTCTTGAAGTTTTTCATAAACTACATGTCTTGAGTGTAATTATCATGCCAAACAGGTA